TATCCTGTACCTTTAATACTACTAACTATCTTGTACCTTTAATATTAATAACTATCCCGAACCTTCAATACTATTAACTAGTCAGCTCCTTAAGTGTTGCAATGTTCACATGTGATGAAAAATAAAAGTAATGCTTGAATCTCAAATTATAGGCTGTTAATCAAAATTGCTGTATTGATATAACTAGAATTGTGTATCTGTAAATGGTCTGCTCAACCCAACATAAAGATGAGATTATAAGTGTTTCAGAAAGAAGCCTATTATCATATACGAGGGGAAAATTGAGAACAAGTGAGTACTTTCTTATGAAATGAAAAAAATATTAGAGCATGAAGGTAAGAAACTTCAAATAATTATGTAAACCCAACCGGATTAATTTTATAAACGTTAGTCTAAAAGAGAAAACAGACCAAAGAATATACCTCATATGCAAACCAAACCAAAACTTCCAATGAAGAAACTGGTGAAAAGCTTAACAGAAGTAAAATGTAATGAAGAGACCCTGAATGCTAAATGGAAACAGACTGAATGTGCAATAATAAAAAGGATATGTATCGTACCACATGTAAACACCCAAACCGATCATCAAAAAAAGATGCGATCAGGCACATTTGGCTTTTTGGTAGATATAAAGACTTAAAAAATAATTTTTATAGTTATGCTGTTTAAAGTTTTAAACAAAACAGATGATAAAGGTAAAATAATACCTTCCTATCTATTAGCATGCACACTGCCTTGTTATCTGTAATGCTACACGAACGGAATGTAAATTTAAAAAACTCTATAAAGCAGGTACATGTACTAGTGAAGGGAGAAAAGCTCAGAAAATGCAGCATTTTACTTCAAAAACCTAGTTGTAAACTTCCCAAGACTCTGCAAAAGTAGCCAAAAATAAAATTTAGCAGAGATATTTGGAATACTTAATAAAATTAAAATTTTGTACAAAACATATTAATAAGCCTCAAGCCCATAATAATAAAAAGAGTAAGAAAAGGGGAAATTCAGGACTTTTTAAAATATTGCTTTACAGAATTAAGAACTTAAAACTTGTAAACTATTAAAATATGAATTATTAGCTAAGATTTTATGCTATACTAATTGGTATAACATAAACAAAAAGTAGTTTAATAAAATTATAAATGTAAGACACTAAAACCGAGTGTCATGTGCAGTAATGAAACCCGTGGTGATAGTGTTAATTCTGGCATCACCAGGATGTTGTTGAAGTGTTGCTAATGTAATGATTATTGATACAAAATGATTTACTAAGATAACTGCTAGCTTAAGCTAATAAATATGTTGAAAAAATTGTCAATACTTGTCATGATTAGAAGTGATATATGAAATAGTCATGATGTCAGAATTTTCCCCCTCTCTGATATGAGATATTTCTTTTTATGTGCAAAGTTTTACAGAAGGTCAATTTTTGGAGTGACACACATGACACATTTTCTCTAAGTATCTTCTCTATTTCATCCACCACCCCTCCAGTAACTACAAAATTAAACGTAAATTACTCACTATAAAATTGTCATTGCTCAGACAAACCATAATTTTTATAGCCTTCAATTTTGTTTGGTTACAGAGCTATCAAATAGAAAATCAGACCCTTACTGCCACACCCACCTGTCACATCCTCTCTTTCAGGATTTGTTAATAGTTCTTTCTTACGTTTAATTATATATTACCTATAACCAATAGAAAGCCAAGGTTTTCATCTATCAAATGACGTATTATATTACACTGTTTTCTGAACAGAGAATTGTCAATTTTACTTGTAAATACAACTTTGATTCCCACAGGAATCACAACAGCTACCTTGGATTTGGATGAATTTGTAACGGCTCTTGTCGATTAGTACGAAAGCCAGAAAAACTGTGATTGTTAGAGGAGATTGTCTGCTTTTTGCATATTATTATTCTGTTCTTTGTTTCATTATTTAATTAAATAAAAATTATTTAATGCACTACTACCATTAGTATAAAAAAGTAGGGTTATGTGTCATCGATAGTCCACAGCAAAAAAAAAAGAATACTTGGGTAAGTACTTTATTTCTTGTTTTTCAAATTTTTTCTTTATTTATTATTATAAAAGTAACTAAAATGTAAAAATAGGGATCTCTTTAGGTTAGTTAAGGTTAGATTAGATAAAATAAATAATAATAATATTTCATGAGGCATGCTTGTGAGCAGCTCATGGGTAATATAATTCAATAGTGTAACATGAGCTGCACACTCCCCAAGTGATTTGCAACTTACAATGGCACAAAAGGGCAATGAAACAATAAAATTTGATTATAAATATGCAAGTTTAAAGCTACTTAGGATAAATGAAAGTAGTTTCACACTACATTTGAAGTCATTCTAGAAAGAAAAAGAGGGTAATTTAGATTTATTTAAATTTTTTTTGTGGTTATGAGGTCAGTCAAATTGAACAACCTTGTATAGAGTTAAAGTACAGATAAAATAAAAAGTTTTACTGAAAAGAAACATTTGAAATGTATTTAGGGTTTATTAGAGATTACACAAATAAAATTTGAGATGATGAAAAGTATTTTTAATCTTAACATGAAAATCACTTTGTACACAGACTATTCAAAACAAATACTCCATATATTCAAGGACAAATCTATTTTTAGTTTATTAAAAATGCTTCACTAAAAAATATGATTTTTTGTATGTGAAAGACTTGTAATGTTGTCTGAAAGACTGCAAAATTTCGTGAAGATGTATATATATATACACTATACTAGAAGTTAGTAGTATCAAATCTATAAGGACTTCGAATGAGTACAAAGAGGTCATTTGGTCTGTAAAATTGACCGAGCCTGTGTTGAGATTTAATAAGAATCTAGCTGTTCAGTGCAGTCTTAATTTCTTAGATAAATAATATTTGGAAAAAGGTCATTGCTTTAAAAGTTTTTTTGATACATGTTTAACCAATAACATTACATGATCCACCCTCTTACCATATCTCAAGACTTGAATATACCCTCACTTATTACTCTGTAAAGCAATTAGGGCTGTGTTTAATCGGTGTCAGCTTTGTTTTTTCTCTCGTTAACAGAAATTTTGACAATGTAACTGCACGTTAAATGTCACTCACACAGAAAATTCGATCTTTTGATTTATATAGTGCCTATCACTTAAACACAAGTTGTTGTATTAAAAACACACACACACCACCAAAATATTATATATAGTAGCTCCTTCCAAGTATTGAAGCAGAGAAGGAAGGAATATTGAGCAGCTGCATTGCTTCAATAAATGTATTGAATGCTTAGTGTATGAAATATAAGGTCTGTATTTCTTTTCTAACTGAATTGCTACTATTACTTTATTCTGTTTTGCTGCTCATTTATAATTATAATTATTTATTCATTTGGCTGCCTTTATCAAGAATTATCTGTAATTGATCAACAATGTTATTAAAAAATGTGACTGATAATAACACACTCTTGTACAATGTTTTGTTTTGTTATAGATGAAGGTTCATATTTATTTTCTAATCAAAGTGCCAGTACTAATCTGTTCTCTTTTGCTCTTTATTTGTCTTTATGTTTATTAGATATGTTTGATTAATCAACAATTTTATTCTGAAAAGGCTGACTATTAACCTGTTTCGCATGGTGATTTTCAAACACAGATTTGTTCTGCTGAAGTAAGTTGCCATTCTTTTAATTGGCTACAATAGGGTGCTCCTGCAATATAAGCTTACTGTATGGAGCTGTACGAGTATTGCATTTAGCATGAAATACATGTACATAAATTATACAGAGTTTTTATTCTTAGACTACACATAAATGTTTAATTTACATTGATTGCCTGTAAAATAAAAAGGGATTTTCAATCAAATATATACTAGTAGTTATGGTGATATCATCAGTAAATTATGTAAATTAATATTACTGTTCATTTGGTAGGATGTTCCAAATCTTCGAAGGCCCAAAACCTACTCTTCTTTACAGGCCTAAAAGTAATTACAGTTTTGCAGAGGATGGTAACTGGATTTTTACAGAATTATCACATATATTTATTTTAAACTTATAAGCCTTAATAAATAATTTTTTTTCAGAGTGATGATGTAACAATTACTTACAAACTTTGATGTTTATATGTTTTTTTATATTTTGTCCCATATAATTTAACTAAAAGTTGTAGTTTATGCAACTTACAACAAGTTCCTAACTGTATTTTGCCCTTTTAGTTCAGTATTTTTGATAATTGGATCTCAACTAAAATCAGGTACAACAATATTTGGGCTACTTTGTCAAAGCTTCGTGACACAATATTGGCCAAGCTCGACTTTTATGTTGGGAGAAATCTAATTAAATTAGCGTATTACTTATTTTCCACAATACTTTCCATAAGAGTAGCTCATTTTCAAAATGTAAAGACTGTTTTGCTACAGCTTATAGACCTATGTGATTCAACACTAAGGTTTAGTTAAATAGTGAAGAATGACTTCAGATAATCATTATCATCATCTACGAACTAACCCATCAGAGCTGTAGCTGGCAAGTACTATACTTGGACTAGAGTAAGCATTGCTCGTCACCCAAGTACAATGGACAGCAAACATCATGAGGATCATCATCATTACAACCACAACTACACTTCGAACATTGGTGCCAAGACCCATGCTTTCTTTGTTCTGATCCGTTTTTATCTTCCTCACTTTTCCTGCCTGGAAAGAACAACAACATATATATATATTGACAAATTTCAAAATGTATTATCTTAAGTAATATTTACTAGCCTTATAACTCACTAAAACTATAAGGTTAACACATATAGTAATGCACACATGGAAGATACTAGTACATTAAACTTACGTATCTTGTGTATCCTAGATTGTGATTAAAAATGTATAAAACAAACCCAGCCTTTAATTCCCATTCTAAAGAATGAGTCTTATTTAAACTGAGAATTCAATTTTGTCATCAGTAATACTAAGAATAAATTATTATATTATGTATCTTTTTGAATAATTGTGAAACTCAATTTAATACTTATCTGGTTTAATAAAATTACACGAAGAGAGCTTGGTGGCTTATATAAAAATCTCAATGGAGACAAAAAATTTTTGTCATTGTTGACAAAAAAAATTAATAAAATCTCAAAACAAATAAAAAATTCTCTGTTTAGCATATGAAGCACAAAAGTTTTTTACCTTATCATACAAGTGCTTATTTCCTTTCTTTTCTCCTCCATCACTCTCATCACTCTCACTGTCGGTACCACTGGAGGACTTTGGAGGCTCATCTTCTTGAAGGTAAAGACTAAAGGCATTGGAGAAGGCAATAGCAGCCAGGACACAAACAACAGGGGTCAATGTAAGCATCAGTCTCACCATGACGCCAGCAAAGTAAACAGCACTTATAGCATACAGAACAACTGTAAAACAGAAAGTTTAGCACTATCAGTCATAGATTCAAATATACAAGGAAATACTTAAAATGCATCACTTATATACGTTGGTTTCTGAATGTTTGTGAAAAGCTACACAAAGGCTGCCTAAATAGAGCCATTCTTGGCTATTGGGGTACTATTTCAGACCAAATAGTGGGACTTGGTAGTCACTCTTATAGCACACCCATGAACCATACATACAAAGAACATCTGCGTACTAATGAGCCATGAATCAAGAACCCCCGTATTCACAGTCCAAGCAAGCTAACCCTAGTTACACAAGCTTTTTACTTTATTGAAACAAATTTTGACTATACAAGGCAGTATCCTTATACTATTTTTACAAAAGAAAATTCTTTTGGTAAAAAAACAGATTAAAAACTAACAAGTTATGTATTTAAAAAGAATATCTTCACATTAAAGAAAACATTCAGGAATTCAGTCAGACATGCATAATATGCACAACAAAGAATAGAACATTAACTGAGTCTGAAAACGCAGCCATTATAGAAAATTGGTATAAACAGCATTTCATTTTATAACCCAGCTGACTTCTCTAAGAACTGGTATTGAGCAAAAGGCCCTGTTGGTAACATACAAAATATAGTAGAAATACACTCTTTAATAGGTAAAGTAAGACATGGTTTAAAGTATTATCAGTCTTACTAATGTTATATCTATTATATAAAGACGAAAAGCTGTCCGTCTGTCACGGTGATATCTCGGCTGTTGTGATAACGATCAACATGCAATTTGCACGAAATGATGGTGCTTTTTGCCGTAACAAGTATGTATGTCGTTCAAAAATTCTTCCAGCCATATGTATATAAAACGGATGGTGCGGTACTTTGAGCATATAATTAGATTTGAAGGTAGATTGGTAGAGATTATGATGAGTAATAAAATTGAATCGAGTATATGCACATCCCATGTTTGGTATTGCTGGAGCACAAAAATCATAAGAATTGGTTGAAATTCCCCATTACATTTACTTGGTTGTCAAGGAGACACAACATCACCAAATTTTGTCCACTCAGAACCCTTGGCTACAACTCTGTAATAACCTGCATGTTTTACCCGCAGCACATTTCAAAATTCCCAAATTAAAGCCTGCTTCTTCAGCTGGCTAACAAAGTCAAAACTAGGAAGACAGTCCAAAGATAAGATCACAAAATTCATAAAAAAATTCACTGCCTTTACCATCACAATTAATAATTTGCAGGGTCATACAGCTGATTAAGTAGGAATATATCATTGAGAATCAGTTTTTTTGCATGTTTCAATCTATAAGGATTTATCAAAAAGAACATTTGAACATAACTTAAAATTATATAGAAGTCAAAATACTAATCAAGTAATACTTAAAGGAGATGACCAAATACACGTAAGAAACGCTGTTTTTGTGAAATACTAGAAATAGCATAATCATTCTCCATACATATATTGTTAATAGATCATAGTTACTTTATAGAAAACTTGTTCATAAAACATTTATTTAATATAATTTTGAGAAAAAAAAAATCATAATTTCCTGTCATATGACAGGCATTCAGCTTGTTACACATATTACTGAAATGTCTTGATCTGCTATCTAAGACATTCTATGCCTTTAACATCAGAAGCTCATTTCTATTAGTGATAGGCAATATATTTTTGACAATCATTATTATTAAATAGAACCTAATTATTATTACTGACAAAACAAAGAAATACAGGAATTATCTGGATATAGCACAAAAATGTTTCAAATAGTTTTAATGTTCTTACTTTTCAGCAAGATGAAATTAAAACAATCTGGAACTTGAACCAACCTGTGTTGTACAGAGCAATTTTTGAAGACTTTGCTATGATCATAAAATAACTACACTCAAAATTTAGTTTGGTGGTACGAAAGGTTTGGTTTGAATTTCATGCAAAGCTACACGAGGGCTATCTGCTCTAGCCATCCTTGATTTAGCAGTAAAAGACTAGAGAGAAGGCTCCACCCACCACCAACTCTTGGGCTACTCTTTTATCAACAAATAGTGGGAATGACCGTCACATTATAATGCCCCCACGGCTGAAAGGGCGAGCATGTTTGGTGGGATGGAGATTCAAACCCACGACCCTCAGATTGCGAGTCAGGCACCCTATCCACCTGGCCGCGTGGTATGAAAGAAAGCAATGCTTATGCAGGTGACCTGAAATAATAAGACAGCCTGTTAAGTTTGCACTTTGTATTAAAATTTCTATGTGTTGTTTACATTTTCTATTATTGCTACACTACTAAAAGGCATTACGGTTAAGACAATTTTTTTAAGTTCAATATAAAACGCATTAACCTGAACCAAATTTGTAGCAGGATATCCATAGTTCAGCAGTATTCTCATGCAGTAATATCTACATTGTGGGTGCAAGCAAGCATAAACATGCAGCATTTGTTCTGAATTGGCTAACCTCAAGTCTTTTGTCTTTGCAACATCATTAAATAGACAAATTTTTCCCTTTCTTATGAAATAATACAAGAAACACTAATGTATTATGACCAATGTCATCACACATACATTCCAGAATCAGATGATGAGAGCCTGTTGTTAACAACAACCATTCGATTGGGCTACTATTTATTATACAGACTGTTTACAATAAAACTGAGAAATAAAATAAACTTTGAAACAAGTTCAACTCTTTAGATTAAAAAAAACAAAACAATATAAATTCAATAATTTTAAGCTTAAAAAAGGAAAGCTGGTTGAATTACTGAATTCATCCCTCTCTTTCATCGATAATCTGTAATAAGTATGATAACAGTGATAATTATATAATATCACAGGAACAATTTTCATTATAGCCAACCACTTCAATACATATAAAGCTCAAAACAAGACTATACCTAAAACACTCAAATTACTGTAAAGTAAAAACATACTAAACACCCATAAAGTAAAAAAACACTTACTAAATACCCTCTCATCATTAATATTCTTGATACAATACCACAGACCAACAGGGAAGACAGCCACCAAAACATGAAGATCAAAGAAAAATGAAAACCATGTTGTTGGCTGATGCTCCGAAACTGATGCAATGATGGGAATGTGAATCTTGGCATATCCAGTGTCCCACAGAGAGTAGAATCTGCCACTCCAAGGAGCTATATAACCTAGGTTATTACAAAAATATAATAATATTTATTGTTTGTAAATAAATATTTGGTCAATCAATCAAACCAAATACTAAATCTTAACTTTTCAAGCACAAATATTGATTCACATTCATTACAATAAAAACCAAGAATGATACATACATGCATGCAAACTAAGGAATTTTTAAATGCATGAAAAAAATTCATATGAATTTATATTTGCCTTTCTCTCTCCCTTATAAATACTTTGAATTAAGGTTTGATAAAATATCTTGTTTAATTGTTTTTTTCAATTTCTTGTAAGTTGTATCTCAGAATAATCCAAATAAAAAATTAAATAATCGTATTTAATGTAAAAAGTAAACACTTGAAAGCAAGTGCACAAAAAATGTCAATGCAATAAAAAAATCTCTGACAGTTTTTTAATAGTGCAAAACTTAATAATTAGTTTTGCCAATGATTTTAGCACCTCACTGATAGATCTAGAACTTACTTTCACACAATGAATTGATGTTAGATTCAGAATATGTAAGTAACATGTTATGAAAATAATAGGTAAGTACTCCAAGTTTGCATGTATAACACCAAACTCATCCCTTACATTTGATAAATTCTCACACTGTACTTCATAAAATATCAATTCTAAGAATCTATGAGTGAAAGCAAAGAATAAAAATGTTATGTGTCGACCACACTACATCTGACACATCCAGTACCAACGAGGTCTTTCAACCCAAACTAGGGCTCATCAGGCCTAAAGGTAGATATATATACCAGTAAGAAAACAAAAATACAAAACAGGGTTGTAACTATCTTACATAATATTAATCACACACACAACTGAACATTTATACGGATGCTGGATGAAAATGAAATATTTAACAATGGTTCTAAATGCATATTAATTAAAACTTTGAACAATCAGTACTACTCCAGTGTTTCTTACTGTCATAACAAATGTATCACCTGTTTGTTATCACAAAAACATTTCTTGGTCTGTCAGCATACTCTTATTTTCCAGAAAAAAATAGCCATATATTTAATCAACTACCACATCTATCATATTTCCAAATCAAAACAGTCAATCCTGTTATTATTTTTCACTATTGTAGAAAAATAGTAGTTATTAATAATTTTACATATGCACAAAAAAATTTAAACTATGACCTATAACACTGTTACTGAAAGAAATCTTTAGTTACCATTATGTTTTTAAAAGGTGTTTTCCATTAGGAAAACAGTGCAATAAAGGACGTTGTTTTATAGTTATGTAGATAATTTCAACATTCTAACAGTTTCGTCAGCAGCTACAAACATCACAAATCTCAGAAGATGAATCGTTTAGCTTTTAAGACTAATACAATTGACTGGCAAGAACTCTGTTGATAAAACAATTTGTTACAGAAAAAACAAAATGTGCTGCCACTACTCCCAAAATTCTGATCAAATTCAAAAATTAACTTCCTATGCAAAGTTGAACATTTCCTATAAACTGAAAAAAAAAATCACAATTCATAAAAGGGTTAAAGTCAGTGAATGTTTTTTAAGCAATCTCCTAATAATTTATATACTTTTGTATCTTTTAAAGATATAAATTAACACAATTTTTTTAGATAAAAAATTAAACAATTTAGGTTATGTCAAAACAAAGATCAATGTTAATATAATCTAAAATGCTTGAATTCCAAACTACAAAGCCCCAGTGGAAAAATGGAAATACACCATCAAAACACAGATAATCCTCAACTGACTAAGTGTATTGTTTTAACAGTTTTCAGATTTACTTTTAACAATAGATACAGTTTGGAGATACTGTCAAAAATTTGTATTTAGTTTTTCTTTTAAGTATGATCATCTTGTTTTAGTTTATTTTTTTTAAGTTTTGTTTGCACATTTACACTGATTCTCTTGTAAGGGATAACAACTGTTCAGAATGGTATTTATTTCAAGCTTAATCCTATCGCCATTGGTATCCTTTATTGCGCATGACACAAGGTTTTAGTGTTTTACAATTCAAAATTTTATTAAACTACTTTTTGTTTATTCTATACCAACTAGAATAGCATAAAATCCTAGATAATAATCCATATCTTAATGGTATATAAGTTTTAAGTTCTTAATTCTAACAGGCAATATTTAAAAAAATCTTGAAATACCCTTACTGTGACCCATATGACACATTTTCTCTTAGCGTGTTATCTTCCCTATTTTATCCACCACCCCTCGAAAAAGTACAAAATTAAATGTAAATTACTCTCTATAGAATTGTCATTGATCAGACAAACCATAATTTTAATAGTCTTCAATTCTGTTTGGTTACAGAGCTATCAAATAGAAAATCAGACCCCTCCTGCCACGCCTACATGTCACATCCTCTCTTTCAGAATTCGTTAATAGTTCCTTCTTACGTTTAATTATAAATTACCTATAACCAATAGAAAGTCAAGGTTTTCATCTATAAAATGATGTATTGTATATCATTATGTTCTGAATGATAAATGTCAATTTCACTCAGAGTACCAACATTGTTCTTGTGAGAAAGTTAACGACTAGCTTGGATGAATTTGTAACGACTCTAGTCGCATAGTTAGAAAGCCAGAAAAATTTTTAGAAGTAAGGGAATTTGTCTACTTTTTGCATGTTATTAGTCTATATTTTCTGGTAAATTATTTAAATAAATAAAAATTATTAAGTGCATTACCATCATTAGTAAAGAAAAACTAGGGTTAACTCTTCGACAAATGATAGCAAGAATAAAAAGACTGGTTAAGTATTTTATTTCTTGGTTTTACGTTTATTCTTTGTCTAATTATGAAAGTAACTATAATGTAAAATAAGGATTCTTTTAGGTTAGTTAAGATTAGATTAGATAAAATAAATAATAATAATAATGTTTCATGAGGCACACACACAAGCAGCTCGTGGGTAATGTAATTTGTTAGCGTAACATGAGCTGCACATTCCTCAAGTGAGTTACAACTTATAATGGTGCAGATAGTAGTTAGACATGGTTCAAAGGGCAATAAAACAATAAGATTTAATTATAAATAGATGTATACTGTTACAAATTTAGAGCCACTTATAATAAACAAATGTAGTTTCATGTTACAATTTGAAGTCATTCCAGAAAGAAAAAGTGTTTAATTTAGATTTATTTCAATTTTTTTTTGGTGGTTACAAGGTCAGTCGAATTGATCAATTCCATTTTAAGATAGGGTAGAGAAAATAACAGATAAACTATAAAGTTTAACAAAAAAAAAAGACGTTGGAAATGCATTTAGGAGGTTTTAGGGATTACACAATGAAAATTTGAGATGAGGAAAATTATTTTTAATTTTAACATGAAAATTACTTTGCACACGGACTATTCAAAACAAATACTCAATATATTCATGGACAAATCTTTATTTTATTTTATTAAAAATGTTTCACTAAAAATTATGATTTTTTTGTATGTGAAATACATAATATTAACTGAAAGACTGCCCAATTTTGTGAAGATATACCCAATATGTTAAAAGTTAGAAGTATTAAATATATCAAGACTTAAAATGAGTACAAAGAGGTCACGTGGTCGATCAAAATGACCGAGCCCATACTGAGAGAGTTAAACAAGTACAGGAATATGCACATATGGATGATTAAATTTTTCCTGATAGCATTAACAAATGTGCAGCATCAACCAAGTGAAAGTTTAAAAAAAAAACACAAATAAATCCACAATTTCATGTGATTACAAAACAATGAAGAACATACCTGCATATGTAAGTATAACAACACTGATAAAAACAATCCCTGCAACTGCAGCTGAGGCGAACAGAAATAAAGACTTGAACTCAGCTCGTGACATGAATGACTGAAGATATTTTAACAAGGCAAAGGCGTTTAGGAGGACAAAGACACCTAAGGGAATAATAGCAACTGTAGATTACAAGCATTTTTAAGCATGAATCTTAAAAAATAAACATATGCAATTATTAAAATACTGCCTAGTATATTAAAGTAAAGCTTCAGTTATTTGCCAAACGAAAATAAAAGTATTACAGTTGGATTCAATAATTAGTTAATGAATGCTGGATAGATACAAGAATCTTTCCAATCTGTTTGGTTTCTCCTTTCACAGGAAACAAATACTATTTAACCAACAAAAGTTTTAAGCACTCTTCGGTGTTTGTTAATCTTGTAAGTGTCTTTAACCTTTTGATATAGAAAACATATATATACTCATAAATAAAACCAGCACTCCATATATGTATATTCCTACATTCCAAGCCCATTAAACTCGGCAATGCTTGGACCAATCTACTGGATAAATATGTAAAATTTAACATTTTACTCTACCTGCTGATGCCATGTGTTCACTTGTTCTTACAGGCTGAAAACCAACAAAGGGGATTTGCATGGAACACAGAAGTCCTATTATATAGAAGGATGTATATGCTGGAAGACACAAGAAATTTATCATATAATAAAACATTTTCTTTCAATAGATAACATTTTACTTCAAAGCACTATACTACTCATAATTTTTGATACATTAAATGCATGTCACACATGCCAGAATGTTACACACAACACTTGTATACAGTTTGTCCTTAACAGTATTTGCAAGTAAAATATTCGTAAATAACAAGCAACTCCCATGAAAAGTGGTAGATTGTTCCCACATTGAATGAAATACGTGCGTGTTCACAAACAAATAGCATAATAGTAAAATCAGCAGATTTAAGAGTCTAGTCACTGGAAATCTACAAGCAACTGTTTCCTAATAATTTAGCCAAAATAAGTACATGCTGCAACACAAAAACTACTCCATAGTAAAAGTTCAGTTATAAATTATGTTTAAGGTACAATTTCAATTTAACCTTACATATTCAATTGCATCATAACATGACAAAAACTAAACACTAAAAGGTTACTACATTTTGTCAACATGTGTGAAAAAAAAGGTAATATTATTATTACATCATACTTACTTCAACAAAGACTGCTTTATAATGGAAACATTAAACCCCATAAAATAACATTTTTGACAGAAATGAAACAAATATTTGTTTGTGAAAACCTTAATCCACAATATTATAAGTAATGTGTATTAAATATTACAACTAATAAATAAATAAGTAATGTTTACAAAGCATCATGTACTTTATAATTAGAATGCTATTCACCAACCTATGTATATCCTTTGCGAAAATCTTCCCATTAAAAGAAGTACAAAAATATGAAGTGGAATGAGATTGATTATAAAAACATAGCCACCCCATGCTGATACCTAAAAAATGAAAAGAAAAATATTACTTAAAGCTTTAAACAGAAAATAGTGGTTCACAACATTATTTTTAAACCCTTATATCTGTCAAAACTGAAAAATGACAATGTATCTACATGTTTGACTTTGTCATACTTGACAACTTTCCTGGCACACAGAAATCTTAATAACAGAAGAATAGTTAACCCTCCTAGGTTTCCATTGTATTGGTTTTTAACTCTTTCAGCATGGGCTCGGTCCCTGGGACTGACCTTGTAACCATTTTGTGCTTGTTATAGTTTTCATGCTATAACTTTTAAATTAGTAAGTGTATGTTAACGAAATTTGGCAGTTTATCAGTAAACATTACAATGCTTTCATATGAATATTTGAGCAGACTAAAGACACAACCTACCTTCTTGAAATCTTAGTTCAAAAGAACGAGATGGCGTCCTAACACATGAAAATGGCTGAGAAAGCCACTAGCAGGACATTCTGAGCTTTCGATTAGTTATTCACATGTCATATATATATATATTGAAGTAAGTGTATATAAGGGACCGTTTTCAAAATTGTAAAGAGGCCACTGTGTTTGATTCAGTACATGAGTGATATCTCAGCAAATAGAAAAGATACAAGGTTTTCTTTTTTTTTATATTCTAGCTTATCAATATCAGTAATTTAACTTCCTAATTTGTACAAAACTATAGACTTGGTATTTTGAGATTACAAACATCTAATTTGAACCAGTGCTGCATTCAACATACCACGTGACACACAAAAATCGGTGTTTATCTGTGTTTTTAATATTTACTTTTAGATTAAGAAATTAAATACTGCATAATAATAAAACTTATAATCTACATTATGATACCAAACTTACTGACATAAATTCATGAAATAGTAGTTCAATAATATTTTGAATGCAAGTCAACAAATGTGATGACATGGCTCGTGACCCATCTGGAAAGGGTTAATTCTTGGATATATAGTGAAGGCTTTTTCCTGTTATAAAATCCTTTGCCTTCACTGTCAACTCTTTATCACTTAAATCTACAGCTTATAAGCTTAACAAGCTAATACCACATGTACCCACATTTAAACAAACACTATAACTAAGTTTTAAACAGTGTGATTTTATATACTTGGACTTAAAAAGCTCAAAGGGTTTTGAAATTTACTGAAAGTTATTTAGCTTTCCAAGCCAGACAATGCTCACATCATCAACAATTAATGATACTTTACATGCTTGTAAACATATTCTGTATTTACACTAATTACTAATCTGAAATAAAGATACATGTACAAAAAATAGCCAGATGACTTATGTTTTTAGAGATTACTGTTCTTACAGCAGGAAAACAAGAAACTGTAGAACTTACCATATAAAAATATCCAAGAGCTGCCATTACACCCCAGTAGACTGTTCCACTTTTTACAGCTCGTACCTTAAAAATAATGAAAAATAAAAAAAATCCCTGAGATACTGGTACAACTAATTAAACACATTATTTGACAATTATCTGTGTCCATTTATAACTGGGGAACCTATGAACTGATTGTCACCAAATCTGAATGTATCCTTAGGACTTCCCTAGGGAGTGACATAAGTAGTTCTGCTTTCTACTTTTTCTATTTTCTTTTTTCTCACCAAATTTGGCTGCATCTGTATATCCTCCTGTAGAGTTCCACAGAAGGTTTAGAGTTTGACCTGACCCATAACCACTTATCACTACCCGAGTGTTACTGTTTGTCTGTATGTGCACCTTTCACGTGTAGTTTTTGACCAACCCCAACCAAACTTGCCATATATCCTTTGGGTATTTGGATCTAACCCCCCCCCCCCAACACACCTAGTGTTCTTCATGCTATTTTACTAATCTCTACCAAAGTTCAAAGGTACCTGTAGGGCACTCAGGAGAGTAACATAAGGGGATCAGCATTCAGATCTAGCCCCTTATCTCACTCCCTTCTGGCCTCTGTGTCTTTTCTGTGCATTGAATGGGTACATCAGCTAGTAAAACACATTTTAGCACCTTTCCACGATGGTTGTATAGAAAGTCAAATGCTACAGAAACTGACCGATTGGCCTCTGTCTTTTCTGTGCATTGAATGGGTACATCAGCTAGTAAAACACATTTTAGCAGCTTTCCACGATGGTTGTACAGAAAGTCAAATGCTACAGAAACTGACCGATTGGCCTCTGTCTTTTCTGTGCATTGAATGGGTACATCAGCTAGTAAAACACATTTTAGCACCTTTCCACGATGGTTGTACAGAAAGTCAAATGCTACAGAAACTGACCGATTCTTACTTTTTCTAATTATTTTCTAGCTATCTTTACCTTTATTTAGTGTAAAAAAATAATTTTTTGTTAAAATTTTAAAGTACTTAGAGGTATAGTTTTAAATGTTGTTTAATAAAACATATATAAGTGCAGTCATAATGCATGTTACATTAGTGAAACAATGTAAATGTAACATTTTTCTAAATTTTGCTTTCATATGAAATAAACAAGTTTTAGTGATGTGTTTGACAGAATATACTTCAACAGTAACCCTTCAGAAGATCTACGGTTTTTATATCTGCAAATATGAGTATTTTTTGCTTATTTTTAATTATTTTTGCTTCATCACCATGTTTTCATAATTTTTATAATTTCATTTTCTTCAAAATCATGGTTTAACTAGAAAAACTGCTTTAACCTATTTTTCATAAAATTTGTCTTTGTTTGAAAAAGATGAAACAAATATTTTTATTCAAATGTTCAAAGTGACAATGTATCTACATGTACAAGTTTGTCAGACTCGAGAACTCTTCAAGAACATAGCAAAGTGAATATAAAGACACAGATATACTTAAATAGATATAAAATGGAGTCTTTTTCTTTTTAAATTTATCAAATCTTTTGCTTTCCATATTGACTTCTTATCATCATATAAATCTCTAGCTTCCATCTTAGCAATTCAAGTTTCTATTTCTTTTACTTCAATCAATAATATGCAATTCAATTTATGAAATGAACACATTCATGATAATAAAAACCTATTTCAAGACTGTTTCAAAATTTGACTCAAGCACATTTATTAAAAGCCCATAAAGTACTGAGGTACAGTGTAAAAAAACAAAACCTATCAAATTAAAAAAAAACAAAGTTGAAAATCTGAGGTACACTAAAGAATATCATTACAACTTTGAAAAAAAAAGTTGTTTAAAATGTTGCTAATAAACAGTTATCTGTTTATGTATCAATTTTTGTAAATAGTTAAATTTTTTTGTTGCACCTACACTTAAAGACTGGTTTAGAAGATGTTACTAGAACAGCTTTTGTTTAAAAAAATTGGAATTTTTTCACATAAATCAAATTATTCAAACCGACAAATTATCTTCTTCTTCAACTTCCACTGAATTATTTTAAACTCCCTAAAGCCATATATGTACAGCTTTGTTTCAAATCTGTTAAGACTTTTCATTTTGGTTAACAGACTTTACACATTAGAATCTAATTTCAAATCATCAGAAATTAAAACTCCACAATTTGTAAAACAATGTACTAGTGTTATTCTATTAAAATCTGACAAAGGATAATCTGCTATTATTATGGTTTTGAAATCATTATTGGTTCAGCTCTTTTTTTACCAAGCTAAACACTAACACATCTTCTAAAAAATAAAAAAATATTATTTTCTTCCAAACAAGCTTAATAGTATTTTAACACTCACAAATCCACAACGTCATGGGTTTCCTTAAATCTGCAAAACTGATTTTCCTATTAAGCCACAGAGCTTTGACTTATGGAGATTATAATTTTTAACATGTGTTTTTGTCAACTGTACTGGTTTAGCCTCTTCAATCATAAAAAAATTCAATATTATTAATAAACATAAAGTTGTTATCACTTTGCTATTACAAATACTTTTAACATGAAAAGCTTGTTCACAATAATTCTTGTTTGTAAAACTGTGAAATTTGTACTTGAATGAAACATTAAAAGTCGATTCCCCACGTCCTTTAATTATGCTATTTTGAAAGATTTTTGCCAATTCACTATTCATTCAATGTGCCCCAAAAAAATGTTTTGTTTTTTTACCTTTAACATACAATTATACATGTGCTTAAAAAAAAACTGAAAATAAATCATCTGAAATTTTAAGTATGGAAAATCCTATTACTCCATTTTTAGCAGATGTACACTTATAATCAGTAATGATGAATAAAAAAAACATCTCTACTTTCCAGTATATTCCAGGATATAACCACTGAATTATTTAAAAATTAACTTATATCACTGATGTCTAATATGTGTAATGTAATTACAAGTCAAGATACTGAAACATAAGCCAAAAAGCACCAATTGTAATTCAGTTAACTTACCCACATGTAGTACGTAAACATCAAAGCAAAGATGGCAATGCCTTCATTATCATAGCTTCCTGCTACAGACCGGCTAATGTACCCTGGAACTAATCAAAAAATAACATTTATATAACATATCCTGGAACTAGCCAAGAAATAACATTTATATAACATATCCTGGAAGTAGCCAAAAAAAATAACATTTGTATAATATACCCTGGAGCTAACCAACAAATAACATTCATATAATATACCCTGGAACTAACCAAAAAAATAACATTCATATAATATACCCTGGAACTAACCAAAAAAAAACATTCATATAATATACCCTGGAACTAACCAACAAATAAAATTCATATGATATAAATGGGTGTTCGTATCTTTGTATGTAGTGAAATTTGAATGTTGCAAAAAATATATAAAATTTCCACCTATCCTTACCACTATGTTTTTAAAATGATTCAAATCTAAATTTTTCATGAAATTAAGTTTTAGATTTAATCTAAACAATAATAGTTGTTTTGAAAACGGTTGTGAATTCAAGTCACATTGTTAAGAGATGACTGGAACCACTCGTACTGACCAATACCAGATACAGAAATACATGCACTTGCAAGTTATCATAAAAAAATTGCTAGCATCGCAATCGCCAATTAAGTAGACAAACCTCTCATTACTGAATTATTCTCCTGAACTGTGTCAGGAAAATGATAGGACATTATATCAATGAAAAGGATGACATCATGAGTAGCATTTATTACCTTATTACTAGATTATAAAACCTCAATTTCATAAAACTTCTTATGAATCATTATTGTTAATCACTAAATAGAAAATTTTCAATGCATTGTTAAAATGTACAATTAGCAACTTTTGGTAAACAAATATCTTGCTTACTAGTTAGATCAGGCTTATCATGACTTGAGTATATAAAAGCTATGATTATTTTCCACATAAATTTAAATTAGTGCATCAATTATTCAATCTTGCACCCAAAGGTGAAATAAAAAGAAGGGTGGTAGGTGAACTTCAAAACTGACGGTCTGTAATGTGTAATCAAATCAAAATGTTGATTATATGTTTGATAAACAAACAACAAATTGAGATTAATGATAATTTGCAATATCCTAAATCCAAGTAAAATTTTGCAGTATTGGTCGATTTTATTGATTATGACACATCCTTTAAATGCTCATCAAAGAACTTTGACAAACATTCTGACTATTAACCAGAAATAATGATGCTCAAAATCTTCAAAAATGTAGCTACCAGAGTCTTACATTTTAAAATTTCCATATCCTTCCTGTGGTATAGAGTATTCACACACACACACATACATACAATACATTGTTTAATTACAGAGTACAGTGTGAATAAACTTTTTGAAGTATTAAGTCAGAGCACATTTTTGACATATAACTGCACACAAGCATATACTGCTTATCTCGAGTGCATATGCTGAGTCATGATTAGAACCTATAAAACAGCCATACTCAAACCAACTATATATACTGCATGCACATAATATTGTTGTTTACAACCTAAGCTAAGATGGAGACATAAAATATTGAAAAAATTCAACATCCTGCTAAACACAAGATACAGAAAATGTGGGTCTTATTTAAAAAAAGTAAACTATTTACACAAATAACAGCATGTGTCCAATCAATGCCCAAGCACACTGCACATGTAATAGAAAAAGGATGGCTTACCAATTGCAATAAAACATGCAGCAAACAGTCCTGCTCCCTCACTCCATAATTCTTTTGTCAAAAAATATGTAGCTAATGCTGTGAGGCCACTGTTGGTGAAAATAAATATTACACTCTTAAAGATGAGCTTTTATACCATATTACATCAAGACCTTTTAGGTAAAGATTGGGACAAAGAAACAAAAAATATACACATTAGTTAAATTTTCAAATAATATGTTAATCAGCATTTTATAATGTTGTAAAGTATATAACATAATTCTCTTCCTTTCATTTTACTATAATTTCGATAAGGATCTCTTCACTCTAAAAGTACTATTCTTGCTTCACTTCCTATTAGCCAGTACATGTATATCATATACTACTAGTCTTTTCATCACTATTTGTATTTAACACTGTCCTTCTCGACTGAATCTGTTACATCTTACAAGGTATCTTTACCACCTTCATTTTGTCTAGTTAAATGACCATCCATTTTACAAAAATATGTTATATAATAAAACAAAGGCTAAAAAAAAAGTTCTTTTTTAACAACATAAGTGCAGTTTGAACTATTTGTAATCAATCCAAGAAATAATGTTACATGAGCCATGTCCTTGGACTCTGCATCCTTGATTAACCTATAAACAAAATACGTGACCTAAATCAAGGGTTCCCAAACTTTTCCCAGTGCCAAACCCCTTTCCAAAATTCTTATCATGCCATGGACCACCACCAAATTTAAACTATAATTAAAGTCTACTAAGCTATGACTACAGTATCTTAGCATTATGTGGGTGACATCATGGACTTCCAGGATTTAGCCTGTGGACCTCTAGGGGTCACCAGACCACAGTTTGGGAAAGTATAACTTAAACCATTTACTTTTGATCCCAAGCCATTTTCAGCTATACCAATAAAATTCAAAACTTTATTAAATGACTTTGCAAAGAATCCTTTAACAGACTTTCCAAAACTTTTCCCACAACTGGTGTAAGACCAATAGGTCTTTAATTACTGGGACAATTTTTATCACCTATTTTTAAACTTCCCAATTTTTTCCTAACTAGCTCAGAATTAATGCAGTCGTCTTGTTTGATTTTGTTTCCATTTATCAACTGTTCAAGATGTGAAATACTTCTTAAATCTTCGTGAATAGACAAATATGGTTAAAAGAAATACTTGTTGGCTAAAATCAAGGTTATGCCAGTTACATTCACCTGAAAAGAGAAAAACCAGAAAAGTAATTAAGTCATTGTATAGACATAGCAAAGTCACTTCAGTATAAACAAACAAGAAACAAAATTGTATTTAAATAGCCTTAGCATTATTTTAAATGCTACAGCAACACCCAAAACCTTAATATCATCAGCCAATTTAAGTACTTTAATGACCATTCCTTCATCTGTGCCATTGATGTAAATCAAAAAGAGCAAGACTTAGCCCTGAGGTACCCCACTTCTGTCATTAATCCAGTTTGACTGAACTCCATTTGTAACAACCCTCTGCTTTCTTCCACCCAGCCACTCTTCTATCCAATTTGCTAACTTATTCCCTACACCTGTAGAGATAATTCTTTTTACAAGCCTTTTATGACACCTTGTCAAATGCTTTCTGAAAATCCAGATACACCAAATCTACACCCTAATCATCATCTACATAAGCAGTAACCTTTTCTAAGAATGTTAAAAGATTTGTAAGGCAACCATGTTTACTATAACTGTGAAGACGATGCTGCTAATTTACAAAAAAATTTAGATCATTAATGAGTTGGGCAAATAAATGGCTGATGGGTTTTAATTACAATAAATGCTAGATAATGCATGTGGGTTATCATTATTTAAATTATAAGTATAATTTGGATGAGAATAACCTTAATAATGTTATGAAGCAAAGGGATCTTTGTGTAATAGCTGATAAGTCTCTAAAGCCATCTAAGCAGTGTACTGTTGCTAGTGGTAGGGAAAATAGGATTTTAGGTTGTATCTACAGAAATATTGAATACAACTCTAAAAGAGGTTATAATTTCATTGTACAGGTCACTGGTTAGGCCACATTTGGAATATTGTTTTCAATCTTTGGTTCCTTACCTTAGGAAAGACATTGAATTGTTGGAAAGGGTTCAGAGAAGGTTTACTAGAATGGTGCCTGGGATGGAGAGGTTGTCATACAAGGAGAGGTTGAAATCTCTCAAATTGTTTTCTCTTGATTGAGGGGTTTATGATTGTAAAGGAAACTGATAGTGTTGATGCATCATCTTTTTTCATATTTAACAGTGACAATAGTAGGACTAGGGGACATAAATATAAATTTTGGCAAGGTAGGTTTCATCTTCAGGTAAGACAGTTTCATTTTTCTAACAGGGTGGTTGGCCTTTGGAATGGGTTAACTTCAGATGTTGTAGAGGCAGTAAATTTAAGTGAGTTTAAGAAAAAGATAAGTATATGAATGATAAAGGCTGGCTTTAAGATTATTTAAAAATTATTTTACTTTAGTTTAGAGGTTGGAACAGCCGAAATGGACCAATAGGTCCCATGTTGTCCCAAAACATTATGTTATGTTTTAGGCACAATATATTTGCACATGATTATGCAAATTGATATGTCTAACTTGCATAATCTCAGTACTAGTCTTCATGTTGGCAGACCAAGAGAAGCTGTGGCTGATTTTTTTTCTCTAACATTTTATCAGAATTAAGCTAATAAGCCAACTATTTCATTCCTAACCAGTCCTACATATATATTGTTTTTGAACACCAAACTGAGGCAGAGACAAAATAAAGGACACATTAAGTTCAGACAACACCATCTTACACAATTTTATTAATTAAAGAACATGACTGAAAATACTGTGAAACATTTTTTTATATATATAAATCCTAAAATGTAAAAAGAAGACAGAAACTTTAATGAATTTGATTTATTCCTCACTGGTTTAACTTACCTGAACATTGGGGCTAGGAAAACACAAACATCTCGGATGTGTACGGTAATATTTAGTGCTGACAAAACATAATGAATTGCTCCTGATGTTATCATTAACCCTGGATATACCTGTAAAATAATTCACAGATCAAAATATTACATTTCCCTTTATAAGTTCATGTAAATCTTACGTATCAACACCTAATAATAAGCAAACAAGGAGAAATGCTTGAAACACAACAGACTATAACCTAAATTTCTAGTTGATGATCTACTTGTGGGAGGTAGGCATATTATAGCTAACTAGATACAAGTCATTTATATCAGTTTAGATTAAATCAACACTACACAAAAACAGTGAAAAGAACATAACTGTACAATCTGGGGTACTACTTACTGAAAATTTTGTTTTGAAAAATTAAGAAAATTCATTATTAGCCACCTCACAAACCATATAAAATGAATTATTTCTACAAAATATATTTTTTTAATAATAAAAAAACAAAACATGTTCACTTGCTTCAAAATATAAGAAATACAATTTGAGTTATTTGATGTTTCAAGATATTGTTGCCTGGCATACTAGAACTAATGTTCAGGTCAAAGGTCAATAGGTGAAGTGTGTCTGCTTTTAATATATCAATATAAAGTTTTGGCATGGAAAGAATATCTTATTCTAGTTTTACTCTCATCTAACTTCAAGATAGCTGTTTCTTTTCATGTTTAACATTTGAGATTGTAGTTTAGAATTAGTTACTGTTAGTTAAAAGTAGCTTTACTATACATACTTTCTTAACATTTTAGTCCTATTTAGTTTAGGAATTATGCTTTTATGACTGAATCACAATCTGGCCTTTGTTTATAATATTAAGCGAGTTGCTGAATTTTGTATAAAGGTTTTGTTCAAGCAAAATGTTTTTTTTCTCCAACTTAATGTAACGGTTAGTTTACACACCATCGGAGATGAGTGAACAGGGTTTGAATCACTGAAAATAAAACTACTGAACACTGGTGTTTCATTGAGCTTTTAATTCCTTTTACATATAGCTGATAAAGATATAGTTTAAGAGGGGTTATGAGATTGTTAATGAGTAGCACTAATAACAAAACTTGGATTTTCACAACTATGAGAATTACTCAACTGGATTAAATGTAAACATAAAATTGTATTGCAAGCATCCACATGAAGCAATATCTGTTAAGGATCCATACCATCATCAAATGTAACTATTTTTGTTGTGTTATTTAATTGAAAATTTAAACAATTGAGCTATTAATTTAGGTGTGGGCTTTTTTTAAAATACAAATGGGAATTTTTTAATTGCTCCCCAAACATATGAAACTATATTTACCTGCAACTTATAAGAAAATATTTTCAAAAAAAAATTAAAGAACAAATTAAGTAATTAACAAAGGATTATAAAATTTTCTTTATCTTTGAATTAAGTAAGCTACCTATATTAATGCAGCACACAGGAGGTTAAGCAAATAGAAAAGATACTTCCATACAAGTTTGTTTGTTTGAAGGTGAGCACAAAGCTACACGATGCGCTATCTGTGCTCTGCCCACCACAGGTATTGAAACCTGGTTTCTAGCATTGTAAGTCTACAGACATACCGCTGTATCACTGGGGGGCTCCATACAGGTATTCGAAACTTGTAATACATATCTAGCTTTTTGACTTGATGTTACATTATTTTTTTAATTAGGTAACTTTTTTTCTAGTGTGGGAACATGTCAATCCAGCAACTTATAACAATTAGATTATTTATGCCCATGCATCATAAATATATTACATATAATAATTAAGAGTAGCATATATAAATCATATTAGCCATATATGTCTTTTCAGTATCTTCGAAATTAAAACATTAGTTAGACAAGAGTTAATTCCATTTCTTAAATATGAAATATTTTACACTTCTAAGCCCAGAAAAATATTTTTTTTTAATTCCAGAACATGATACAACCTGGAAACTTTATCCAAAAAATGTTTTTAATTAAAGACATTCTTCTGAATTTCACTTTCTATTTAACTAGTTTTAAATGTACAATTTTATAGATCAGTGGTACATAAAAATCTTACACAAAAAGCCCTCGTTCTTCTTCTTAAGCTAGCATTAGAAAAGCTTTTACACTCCACTTGTACTACCCCTACAGGTATCCATACATAAAACATGTTTAATAATTACCAAAGTTGTGTCTACACACTCAATAACAACTGGTATTTGATCTCTTAACATTTCTTTTCTACCATACTAACACCCAAAGTATATATCTAAAATCACAAGCACATAACAAACTGAAATTACTAAATACATTTGATATTACCACTAGTTTAAAAAGTAAAATCACAACATTTTTTTTACCTATTTTTTTAGAGAATTAGTATTACATGAATGCTATAATTGTCCTACGTGTACCAACGATAAGCAGGACAATAATTAACGCTTTCGGTGCCAGAGACATACGTGTGCTTCCAATAGAACAAGGATCTTCAATTGGTGGCCCACATGTCAGTTTAATCAATTACTTCTGAGAAGCAATCACATTTGATTAGTGTCTTGTAAAATAATTGAAATTACAATTAACTGATTAATGTAATGAAAATAATTAATTAACCAAACTAAAATTATGATTAATCCCTTCCGTGTTAGGCTTTGTTCAGAAACGAGCTAAAAAAAATCAGTGTTTTTATTCCACTTTGGATAGCTTATAGTTATATATTAATGAAACAAAAGTTCTTTTATCATCTGTTATTACGTTGCTGCAAAAATTATAATCGATAAATGAATGTTATGTATCTGGATTTATGTGTGATATATATTATATCAATAAAATTACAATAAAGAATAGGAATACTTTTCTCTAGTGTCTTATGATACAGAAATCAGAATAAATCTAATGTCATGTTGTGAGCCCTGATTGTAATACATAACATGCAAGTACGTTTGGGCAAATAATTAATATATATGGTGAAAAATGGTTTGTCCAAGTTAACTTGGGCAAATATTTTTTGAAACATGGAGAATGTCCAAATCTTGGGCAAGTCATGGAAGGGATTAAATTGATTGTTATGAAAAGAATAAACTAATCAAAATTAGTTTCCAAGCACTTACTTTATTCTAGCTATCCATATAATTATAACATGCCATTGTGTTAGTTTATTGTTAGGCTCAAAGTTATATAATGGAGGAATCTCAAGATCTGGGGGTCAATTCCCATTGCCACTAAAACTGCTCACCTGGTCTTTGTTATTGTTACTAATTTGACACTGTTGACTAGAGGAAAGGCAAAAGGCTGGTAACACCCACCACAAACTATCTGGCTACTTAAGTGTCACATAAGATGTAAATTTAGTGTTTTATCACATTGTGTTGTTTCTGTTTTCTAATTTATAACAAAACATTTGAATAATTGCATAGTTATAATACAACACTTAAGGCTCCAACACTGACATAAATACACTTATGTATATGTAAATAAAACAAAATTGTCTGGAAATGTATAAATAGTACCATTTCAACAGAACTCACAAATTAGTGAATAACTCTTTTGTTTCTATATGTTAAACAATGCAGTTGCATTGTGTGTATATTATGCATTTTCATGCACAAATTGTAAGATTAAAAAAATAACTAATTACTGTGTGCCTGAGCTCTGAAGAAGTTTCCTCTGGCTTTTCAATTGTTTCAAACACTTAATAACAATTTTTGAGACATAAATTTCAAATAAAAATATTTCAGAATTGACATTATCATTTTTTTTACATTTAGTGTAACTTATGTAGTTAAAAAAAAGTTCATGATTTCTTTTTTCACAGCTGCAAAAGTTTCACCTGTAAACAAAACCCCACACTTCTGGATTTTTATCATTTTTCTGCCCATCCCAGAGAATAACTATTTTTATAAGAACCTATCACCCCTTGAGAATATATTATACCTAATTTTCAAACATTTTATTTAGTTTTTGTACAGGTCTTTGTTGGAACTTTGTAACAGTAATAAGTCAAGTGGTTTGAAACATTTACTAATGAAACACAGCTATAAAATGTAAATGCAACTGGATTAAGCAAGATGGTTTTAATGAATTTTTTTGTTCCTTTCATCTGTGAAGTGTGCATCAAATTATATCTGTTTGAAAGCTACAGAACTTTTCTTCAAAGAGAAAATATCCAATAAGTTTAGATAACAGTTAAGAAGTGTTGAATGTATAACAAAGAAACCTATAAGTTTAAGACAGTAACAAATGTACCATATTTTGGAGAAGATTTTGTTTTAAGGTACAAGTAGTTTATCTAGACACATTACAAAACATACGTCACATGACTAGAGATTGCTCAACGCTTAATAAAGGTATCTCATTAGCTGGTTCTTTGTTTAAAAATTATGGTGTTTTTAGTTTGATAGATATATTATGGTTTTATTGAGGTGTAATAGTTTTTAAAAAGAAGTTGTTTTTTAATAAATTCACCAAATAGAATAAATTTGTCATCAGATCAGATAAGTTTAGTTAATTTTACTAATTAATAACTATGGTAGATGACTACAAAATATTATGATGACTCGCTAACTCTATACGAGACCCAGATGCATTGATTAAAAACCTGTTGTATGGTTTATTTTACTGAAACTTTATCACCACATTTTACAGATTATGTAGCTTCTGTAAATGAATTAAATTTTTATATATGATGTTTGTATGAATTTGCAGCTTCTAAATTTTGAACAATTAGTTACAAGTTTTGTCTCCTTATATGCTTTTAAAATTTCTCTATAGAAATTTTTTTAGAAAACTGTAAATTTTATCTTCATTTTAATTAGCATAACAATGCATGCAGTTTCACTGTGTTAACAATTACTGGTAAACAATAAAATACTTTTTTTTTACCATACCAAAATTATAAGCAGGTCAATGTTTATGTTTTTAGCCAGAAAGTTTCATTTAATAGATGTAGAAAGTTTTAAACTCATATTTGTATATTCTTTGATAAATACTCAAATTTAAAAAAATCATAACATCTAAGATTGATGTTTTAAAATTAAGTTTCTGATGTTATTAAATTATCAAATTGCAATATGGTATTTTTGAAGTGTCTCTGGCCATGTATATTTACAGAGTTCGGCATTTTGCATCATCCATTTGACAATGTTTTCTCCCCATTGGACAGTTTAAGAAATTGTTGAAAACATATACACAACAAGATTCACAACATACAGTAAAAAGTTTAAACTAATACGCAGTCAAAATTGTTAATTACTATCATCTTACAAGTAGACAAGAGCTAGGATTACCAGCACATGAAGTAGTTTGAAAATTACTATTATGTATTTGAAGCATGAATATTTAAACACTAACTTTTATTTTAGCTTTTTCTCCTATACTTGTTATAAATTAACATTTCCCATACTCCATAGTCAATTAACCCAGTGTTTATCTTATAAGCCTTAAGTAATTTTTGCACCCGCTAGCATAAGAAAAATGGTTCCTAATGAATTTAATGCACATTCAATAAAAACAATATCCTCATGATACTTTCTGATCATATGGACAAGCCATATTACTTACTGTTCCTCCAACTATCCTTCCCAAAGGGTACCATGCACGTTCATCAAACCAATTAAGGAAGTTGTAAAACCCATTCTTCACCATAAAATGAGTAGAACGATAGTTAAACCTGTCCAAAAATAACAAAAAAAATAGTGCAGTAATGAACAATTGTTTAACTAAAATAATAAGAAAACAAGGAAAATTGTAAAAGTTTTCGACAACTTTATCAAAAAACCTTATAACGACTCATCCTAATTTTCACCAAGGAAATTCTAACTTTCCCTTTAGAAACAATGTATCTACTGCTAAGTTCATTACAGTGGTATAAAACAAAAATAAGTATACATTATATATACTCAAAATAACCAGAATTATTGATACATTTACACATTTTCAAATAAATTATTTAATATGGTCTTTTTTCATTATTATTACAGTACACGAATCATCCAAAAACAAAATAAACTATACAAAATAGCTTAGAAGATGGTTTAACTATAAAAAATACTTATTAAAAAGTTGTATTAAACCAACAGATCAGCCCATCATACTTTGTACTGGGCTTGGGGTGACAAAAAGATTGAAAAAATTAGTAGAATTATCATTCTATTGATATTGGATTTGTAGCTGTAAGAGTGCTACCATGTATGTGTTAAATAATAGTGAAAATAGGTTTAACTTTTTACATTTGAAAATTTAATCCAACAAAAATTATCTATCAAAGATTAACCAAAGTGACTAAAATAGATTATTCACATGAGACACATTGGGGTTATATTCTTCTCCTCCTCCTCCTTTCATTCTTAAACCAAACATGGTAGCAAATAGAAATGAGTATTTCTTTACTAATACAAAAAATGTATCTAACCCTATACTAGTCCACCACATGTGATTCACAGCTAAATTTAGTTGGTATGCAGCTAATGCCAATGAATGTGGCAATATAAACTGGTTGTTTTGGTTCAATATATAAGATTAGAAGAGAATTTGAAATGAGCATCAGATGTGAATGTTAGATTAAGTTACTTTTACTCAAGAGAAAATTTATACATATAAAATTTTCTTATTAATTCTATATTTTCATTATCCATTACACTGATTTTACAACAAATGGATAATGTTTTTATAAGAAAAAAAAGCTTTAAGGAATATTAATGATACAAAAAAATGACCTAAAACAGAGAAAACTTAAGGCTTAAAGTTAAGTACAAATGGCTCATCAATCTACAACTTACAAACACACCAAAATGCAAAGAATTTATCCAACCTTTTTATCAATTTATACATGTTTCACTGTTAATTAAAGTCAATTTAGCTTTATAATTATTTACATTTTTGTTTTTTAGACCATATTATGTTGACCACACATTGTAATATAACATAAGCTAAGTACAGATCTGTTCAGAAACAAAGTTACTGAGATACAACAATAGCATTTATTATTGCTATGACGATAAATTGCTCCCCCATTCCAAAAATAAATTGTATGTACAAGTCTACAACTTTTTTATAACTAAAGTTTATGCTTCCTGATATTGCTAACAGTAACAGCAAGTAGGTCAATGTAATGTGTAGTGATTGGGTGTAGCGCCGGCGAGCCGGTAGTAGTACACTACTGACTATAGTTATCTCGCATTATCACCTTTTAGTTTTAATCAAAATTATTCTTTACTTATCTATCGAAAATGTTGTAAAAAGTAGGTCCAAATTCATGAATTTTTGACAAACTTGAATAATAAGATATTAAACATTTTGCTTATTTTTATCTAGCACTCGGACTCTGAGGACTTAAATTGTACATTTAGTGATTTACGTGCTCCTTTACCGACTTTAGTCCGTAGACTGTACTACTTACCATGGGTCAAATTCATGAATAATACTTTCGAACCTAATAACTGCAAAAAGTCTTGAACTAAAACCTGCAAGCCAAGCTAAACTTAGTACAGTAATTCGCAACAAGCTTTGCAACCCAATAGTCTGCCGCAAAGGATTTTTAGATTCCGTTTTCTTATACTCATCCTCCTTTACAACAGTCGTAGCCATATTCTCCGGTGTAACACGTTCTTCAATACGCAGTATGACCAATCATTACACGCCACACTCCAAGCACAGGTGGCGCTACAGATGCTATGGCGAGAAACTCACATTGCCACCACCAGGATTTAAATGCTAATTCGTTTAAATCTCTTGTTTGTCAATATGTTGTTTTGTTTATGTTGAAAATATCTTAAAGTTCAGTACTTTCACCCATAGAAATAAATAAATAAGTCTTATTAGCCATATGTAGTGCCCAGTCCTACGTTAGATATCACAAACGGATAAGGAAGAAAGTAAAACATTGATTGCAACATTGTGATGAGTATAAAACTAACAGGAAGATAGTATCTAGCAAGTAGTTATTTTAAAAATTATTACAGAATGATAGACAGAGTAATATGTCATTTTTGGTTACATTTACACCCCAAATCGGTATGATACTTTACTTACGCCTTAACTAACATATTTCAATATTATGTTATCTTGAATAAATCTCTCAAAAACCATCTAGTTTATAAATTTTCAAATCTTTCATGAAAAAAGGTATTATTTTGTATTACAAAGCATTTGATGAGCTACTTTAACAACGACGTTTCATTAATTTTGTTATATTTTTATATATATTTAATAACTCCTGAGCGAATTTCACCATCTTCATAAAAAAAAAAAGAATTAAATCGACTGCTCGCTACAGATCAGTGGTTCCCAACCTGGGGTCCGCGAAGGTAATACTGGGGTTCGTAAGCTATTTTTTTAAATTAAATAATGCACAGAAAGACACAGAATAATAACAATTTAAAAAATCTGAGACTGTTCTATAACTGTCACAATTTTTCTGGCTCTCTAAGTATGTAAGAAAAGCCGTTAAAAATTCAGCTAAGCTCCTGGATGCGTTCTGTGGGGAAAATGTGGAACATAGTATCAATAAAGCAACATTAACCAGCTCATTAAACAAGTATTTTTTAAATACTGCTGTTCTTTTAATTGCACACTCAGTTATATATATGTCTTTTATTTGACAGTGAAAAATGGGAAACATGTTAATTATTAGTTAATAAAAACAGCTTTTTGGGTAGACGGAATCTTTTAAAAACTGTGGGGAAGAAATAAAAGGGGTCCTTGGTGGTGAAAAGGTTGGGAACCACTGCTATAGATTATTATACTATATATTTGTAAGACGTTTCTAAAGGCTTGTATTGTTCTTTGGTCGCAGGGAGATTCGATGTAGAGTGATAAGAGTGGATTAATGGCTGGAACTTTATCCAAAATGTTAGAAACAATTTGAGCCACGCATTAAAAACGTGATTGGGCGAGTCTATTAAAGTAGAGCTCACAGTATATGAATAGAAGTGGATATTTAAAGCTCTAGGTAGATATTGGTGTGTAGCTATTTATATATTGATTATTTTCATCAAATAAATACTGATAGTAAAAAAAATACCGACAAGTTTATTAAATTTATCATTTAGAAAGTAAACTTTAATTATTACTTTTTTCAAATGCTATAAGTAACTTGGAGTAATAATTGAAGAATTGTGATATATTACCATTTATATGTTATGAAGAGGCAACAACGCAAGAAGGAATTACTATTACAAAAAAATGTAGGTTTTGCAGAGTTGAGAAATCACTTTTACAAGAATGTCTACAGCATTTTTCTTCCAGTCGCTGTAGTTGTGAATTAAGCGAGAACAAACTGTGACGACACATCAAGGGTTTAGTGTTGTGGAGTATTTGTTTGTTTGTTTGTTCGTTTTGAATTTCGTTCAAAGCTACTCGAGGATTATCTGTGTAGCAGTCTCTAATTTTAAATTGATAAACTGAAGGAAAAGCATCTACCCAAAACCACCCACCACCAACTCTTGGGCTATTTTTTTACAAACGGATAGTGGAATTGGCTATCACAATATAACACCCCGAGGGCTTAAAGGAGGAGCATGCTTCGCGACGAGGTTCGATCCCGTAGATTGCTAGTCAAGCACCCATGCTAGGCCGGTGAAGTATTTATCATCAGTATATTTAATATTGCTACTAATATAACTCCCCAGGTAAAAAGTATTTTACCATTTATCTGTTCTGTCTCTCTATTTATCTATCACTCCCAGGTACCTACAATAGTACATCACTGAATGCGATATTGTTATAACGACAATTTTTCACGATATTTGTTATCAAAAGTCAAATTTGAAAAATGTTGTCCAATTCCTATGCTGTCGTTTTTTGTCAAATTTCGCGCAAAGCTATTTGAAAACTATCTGTGTTAGCCGTCCCTGATATTGAACTGATAGGCTAGAGGGAAGGCAGCTATTCAACACCACCCACTGCCAACTCGTGAGCCACTCGAATCGAATAGTGGGATCTGACCGTTACTATTATAACGCATCCATAGCCCCAAAGTGCGCCGCGTGTATTTGTGTGCGTGTGGTTAATGGGAGAGAGCCAGCGAACCTTGGATCCACAGTCGAACAGGCTAACCATTAAGCTGAGTTCGATCTGGTTAGGTTGTAGTACCAGTTTTAAACTTTTGAATTGTAGGCCTAGCTATCACGTTCGTGGGACTGAGTATAATTTTAAGAGTTCGTTTAATGATTATGTGAGACTTTTTTGAATTCATGGGAACTTTTATAAAATATAGATGGAGTATTTCGTAGATTATTGTTCTCTTTGGTGCGTTTATTTGTTTTCGATCAGAAAGCTACACAATTGTACCCATTACTGTTATCGAAATCCGATTTTCAACATTATAAGTTTTTAGACTTAGTGTTGAGCCACTAGGAGGCCTTTGGTGGGACGCTAAGTATTGGAAATTAATTTATTTATGGTTTGTAATGTTTTAGTTGCTTTTATACTTGAATTTATATTTAAATAAGGTTAAATTGAACAGCCACTTTGTAAACAGAATGGAAAAAAAAATAAGCTTAGAAAAATTATGTTGGTATTGTAATTTATTAATATCATTTATTTTGAACATGCTGAAACACTTGTTATATACTTGATTTATAAAAGATGGTATTTAGGTATGGAAAGAAAAATCTATTACAGATATGGACAATTTTCATTTGATGACATGTCAAAAGTTTCAAGTTAGATGGCAGCACTTACATCGCTTTTATGCTTCCATGTGCTAAAAATATTGTTCAAAGTTGAATTATTCCTACTTCAATCATTCTCATTTATATTTCAAAGTATAGTGTGGTTATAAGGCGAGTATATGTACTTGGAACAGTCTATATGGCAACCCGTGCAACATACTGGAAAGATATTTTGTGTGCCTGCATACAAGATAATTGTCAGTGTATTCTATTGGTTTCTGAAAATGTAAATAAAGGGAGTTCCTATAGCAACTATTCAATGCCGTCACCATTTTTCACTATTGCGTCCATCCTGAAAATTACACTGGATATTATGGCATGTAACGTTTCTCTAGGAATTGACCAACTGTCTATCATTATGGCATCCTTCAGATGAGGAATGATTGCACAGATCCGCAACTTGAAAAAGCCCGTATTCAGTAGTCACAGTAACCAGCAGGGGTGAGATCAGGAGCGTGTGACTGCTAGGGATGGTAAAAAATGGCAGCTGATAATCCCGGTCTTTGCCATTTGAGAAAATCTACGCTCATAAGTGATAAGATTTTCAGGTTTCAAAGTTGTCCAATAAATTCTAACACCAGGAAAGAAACGTGATCACATCTACTGTCAGCAAACAAAGACCTGATGTTCAATGTAATATCTTCTATTAATATTGTGAGGAAGAATAACTGTAACGTCGATTAAAGGGATAATAGAACATTTGACGTTACAAGATTTTATCAGAAATTCTTCTAGTCACTAGTTGATCTTAGAAATGCACTTTTCACAATGCAAAATTATTATTCTTTAAAATGTACTTTTTGCAATCTTTACTGCACAAATGATAGAACTTCGGGTTTTGCGATAGAGATCAAATGTGCATGTTATATTTCCTTGTACGTGTGAAAATCATATGTCTTATTGTCCTTAGTTGTCTTTCTGCTAGTTCACTTTTGTTAATCACTAGGAATTAAACTGATTCTCTCTTGCAGGGGTCACCAAACTTTTTCACAGCGGCCCAAATAACTGAGAGAATGACGAGCGCGGGCCGCATAACCATTTTGTTCAATACAATACAGTAAATACACAAAAAATAAAGAGAACAAACATGTTTATTTTCCATATAACTATCTTATTGCTGACGTCGCCTTCTTTGATAACTTTTTCGCACTGGGTGTGCACATATCCGAATCTCGCAAACTAAGCAGCAAAAAAGGTTTGTGAGATTTGGGAAACTGGCGTTTAGCTTTTGAGATATCATCAATATTTGCTTTAGAATTGCTGCATCCAATCAAGAGAATTGCTTTCAAATGTTCATCAGTCAACCTCGTTCGATGTGCTGACTTCACATAATTCATTTTTGAAAATGTTTGCTCACAGCCATAAGTTGTTCCAAACACTGATGCCATACCAGAGGCAAATTTCTTTAACTTTGAAAACTCATCATCAGGTAAGCAGCGATAAAATTCAACAAGTTTTCCTTTTCTGTGCTTCTCTTTCAACAAGTCATTTACTTGCAAATCAATGAGCTCCATCTATAGTTCGACTGGCACGTCCTCAAGGTTACAATCAAATGGATTCTGGAACAGAAGAATGTCACTCTCAATTCTGTCGAGATCTGAAAATCTCTCCAAAAAATGCTTATTTAACTCACTAATAATCTTCTTCAGAAACTCGAGGTTGACATCTTCCGAGATTCCAGCACGAAACTCTTTGAAACACTGAAAATGAGAGAAGTTTCCTGATATTTCCAGTTTCAATGATAGCTTTCTCCGAAATCCTTTGATGATTCTGTAGAGATCACAGATAAGGTTATCCTTTCCCTGAACTTTCAAGTTCAGTTCATTCATGTGGGATGTGATGACAACTTTGACAGCCAGGTAGGATCTGACAGAAGTGGATCAGCTCTATCCTTTTCGGTGAGAAAAATATCTATTTCTCTTCGGAGCTTATAAAAACGAAATAGG